TCTGAGCAGTGACCACAGCAGACCTGCTGTGCAGAACTGCAGACCTGGCACGGCACAGCAGGCTGGAAAGCATGGCCTGGTCAGCAGGAGGGCGTCACGGGCTCATAGACAATGGGAAGCCCTCCCCTGGCCTGGGAGGGAGGGTCTGTTTGAGGTCACAGCCATGTCGCCAAACTCGGGGACCCCATGCTCCCTGGCCCCCTGGAATGGCACCTCATCCAGGCCTGGGAAAGCCATGCACTGGGGCCCATCCTTCCTCCAGGGCCCCAGGCTGAGCATGATAGGATGGTCCCAATATTAAGCCCACTCATGCCATGGGGGCTCAGTGGTCTCCAGTGCCTGGAAACCAACATATGAGGTGCTCTTAATGCCAGGGCTTCTCTCCCCACCTAGACCCAGATTCCCCACAGCCACGCATGGGTGGGCAGTGCAGCCCATGCAGGGGAGCCCAGGCACTGAGTTGATGGTGTCTTAGCTACTTTCCTCTGTGCTGGGAGAAAGCCTGCCACAACTTAAAGGACAGGAAGTTTACTTGGCTTGTGGTTTCCACAGGCTCAGTGGTCGGCAGCTCCAGTGCAGAAACAGCACCGTGGAAGGGCCTGGTGAAAGGGAGCAGCTCTCCCCATGGCAGCCAGGAAGCTGAGAGCGGGGAGCAGAGGGAGGGAGATGAGGTTCTCCAGGCCACACGCATGTGACCACATCCACTGGCCCCATCTTCCAGCAATGCATTCAGCCACCAACTCATCCACGGGTGAGCCCACCAAGGGGTAGCGCTCCGTGGTCCAGTCACCCTGCAAACACGAGAACTGAGAGGGACCTCAATTTTTGTTCTAAACCATACAGTCAGTCACCTGGCCTGACCTCTCACCTATGAATGACATTAAACAGTCGCTATGGTTTTCTCACAACCAAGAGCAGCAGGATGTATCCGAGGGACATCTTCCTGGAGAATGCCTCTCCCTTTTGCTCAGACAGCTCAGAGAAAGCACGCTGGCCTCTAGCATGGTGGCTGTCACTCCATGTGGCCCAGCCAGCACTGGTCACGGAGCTCCTGACACGGATCCACCCAGAGAGGCCTGGGGAGATCCCACGTGCAAGGGCATCCTTGGCCTGTGCTGGTAGCTGCCGGAGCCCCGCAGGCGCCTGACGCTGTCCTCCTGATGCCAGTTCCTGCTGGGAGCTGCCGGGAGCCTGGTGCACATGAGGCTTATGCTCTCTCTGGTGAGGGTTCTGGGCAGAAAGGAGATGGCCCTGGCAGGCAGGGTGGTGCCAACCTGCCCCCGGAAGTGCTCCGGTTTCCAGGAGCTCATGCCATGCCGCCCTGCCAGGCGTACATCCATCGTGGGGCCCAAGGCCTGGGGTTGCCGAGCACGTGTGCACCAAAGCTGCTCCCTCTTCTGGGCCCCGGTCGGGGCAGAGCCCCAGGGTGAGGAGCAAGGCCGGGAGGCGCAACAGACTGCTGGAAACAGATGTGAGCCAGAGGCCACCAGGAGTCTGCCACTCCCCCAGACCACGCTCGGTGGAAAAGTGGGATGCCACGGATCTTGGCCTGCCCCCCCCCGGGCAGGCCCCAGCCAGCAGCACCTGCCTGAAGGCCCATGGAAAGGCTGGCCTTCCCTGGTGGGCTTTAGAAAAGTCTCATCACCCCCAAAAGGAGCCCAACCCCTTCCCTGTACTCCCCGCAGCTGCAGCCCTGCCCCTCCTGTCACGCAAGCCACTGCTCCTGCATGCAGCACACCTGCATAGTCCTTCGCAGGGTCCTGGGTTGGGGGCAGCACAGCTGGCTGGCGCAGGCCAGGGAGTGAAGACACCACCATGTGCACCACAGTGCGGGCTGTCCCCACTCCTCCGCTGGCACGTTCCACGCAGCTGGGAGCCCTGGTGCTCAAGTTCCGCGTGGACACTGCCTTCCTCTCACTGGGCTGCACGCCTGGGACCCCACTGGGCCTGGAACTGGGTCATGCAGGGACTCCACGCCCGACGCCGTACGGAGCAGCCACGCTGGACCTCCTCCCGTTCCGTGCGATCGCTTCATCTTCCGGGTCTAGGCTGATGCTATTCTGCTCGTTTATCTTGACAAAGCCCAGCAGGTCTGCTTTCCTCTCCCCGATACTGCTTTAGGCATTGTACCCTTCCCCAAACACCAGGCCGAGAAGGTCCAGCTGCTTCTTCTAAGAGGCTCACAGCTGTGGGTCTTGCATCTGGGTCTTCGACCCGTCCCGACTTAACTGTCAGGCAAGGTGTGAGCCTGGCTGTTTCGCTTCCGGATTTCTGTCCGCGACAGCCTCAGCAGGACAGACTCATGCAGGGGCAGAGTGCTGGGGACTGGCTACCCAGAATGCTTCAGGCCAGAGATGGGGATGGGGATGGGGAGGCTGAAGCCTGGGAGGTCCCTGCTCCCACCGGCACCCTCCTTCCACGAAAGAAGCTTCTCAGTGAGCTACCCTTCACCCCTCAGCGCCCCACTCCAGTGCCAGGCAGGAAGCATCTTCACTCCAGTACACACTGCACCACAGTTCCACCACCAGGGACGTAGCGAGTGACTTCGCTCACACCTCCTAGCCAGGAGCCTCATCCGAATGAGTACACGAGTGAGTTAACCCATTGGTGCACAGCTGAAATGCCGGCAGACACGGGAGTGGAGTCCACAGAGCCGCTTGCCTGGCTCTGCTTGCTGTTGGACTTGCCAAGCCCCCAGGGCCAGCGTGAGGCACCTTGACTTAAGCCTGCCCACGACCGGCTCCAACCGGATGTACTGGAGCTTTCCGTAGGCAGCAGGCACTGTCGCATGCGTGTGGGGAAATTTATGAGGCACACAGAGAGAGAACCAGAGGAGCAGAAATTGAATTCGATGGCGGCCTGGAAAATGCCCAGTGTGCAGAAAACGCGAGCGAACTCATTTGTCTGACCTCCCTGGAACACGGCGAGGTTTTAATTTGGGTCTCTGGGACCTGGCTCCTGAGGCGTCTGGAGCCCTGGGAGAGAGAGGGAGATACAGCCCCGGACGAGCAGGCCCAGATTCAATCAGCAGCTGGTTTCCGGCTCCCGGGTGGGCAAGGCGCATCATGGTCGACCAAAGGGCCCAACCAGGCCCCCGGGGCCCCCGTGCGAAGGTGGGGTTCAGGGCCCGAGGGCTCATGCACAGCCCACTGGGAAGCCAGGTGAGGGTCTACGTTGTGTTTAAGGAACACCAGGTTACGCGTGGGCCCCCGTGGGCGGGTGTGGGTGTTTCAGAGACGGCTGGTGTGGGTGAGCACACAGACAGCTTGCGGGAGGCCAGGCACTGCCCACAGCATGACCCCTCTGTCCTGACTTCCGCACACACAGACCCTTGGCGTAGGCCACCTATTGCCTGTCCTTGGGGGCCGGGCTCCGCATTCGAGGTCACCAGATGGACCTGGGACATGAGCTGGCAACCCTGGGATCTTCTGTGCTCTGCCCACCTGCTCCCGGCAAAGGCCCATGTGGAGGGCCTCCCATGGCGACAGGGCAGCCTTACTCCTGGGCAGCCTCTCTCACTGCCCTGAGCCAAAGCTCAGCCCACAGGTGCACAACACAGGAAGTGGAGGTGTGAGCGTCAGGTCCCAGATAGTGGCAGGACTCAAACCCAGGGATCCAAAGCCACCCTCAGGCCCCAGACCAGAGTCAGAAACGCAAGCCCTGAGTCAGCTGACCTGGTCCGGCCCTGCCCTCCTGGACCACGTCTCCCTGGTCTCCCTCGGTTCTCTGCCAGGCTGGGCATAGGTACAGCCTGGGTGCAGGAAGCCAAGGTCACCACTGCCCTGAGGGCCGCCCCAGATGTGGACAGGCTGCTAGGCCAGGGGTGGACTTCACTCACAGGGGCAGGGCACTTGCCACCCTGCTGCTTGCTGCCCTTCCTGAGGAGCCCGTCCCCAGCCTGCCCCTTGCCCCAGCACTCCGGCTCGGACCCCAGCCCCAGCTGTGGCCGCAGCCTCCACGGCCACCGCTGCACCAGAGCCACACCACTACACACCCTCCAGGACTGGAGAGACACTTCCACACCCGGCCAAGGCCGCTCCATGCCCAGCACCAGGTGCCTCGCCCCAGGGCCACCTGGAATGGCATACACTGTTGCCGCCACCCAGGCACACAGCCAGGCACACGGGACTGCACAGAGTCCCTGCGTACTGGTCACGGGGCCCGGGGCAGGTACTGGTGCCCATCCTGACGTCACCCCAGGCCTGACCCAGGGGCAGTGGTGTGAGCCTCTCCTTGCTGACCTTGCTGTGGCCAACAGAGGCTGGGCTGTGGGGCTCCTGGCCCGCTGTGTGGTGGTTGCACCTGGCCCTGCCCGTGCGGTCACCCCGAGTCCTTCTACCACCTCCCCTACAGCCTCTTCCCGGGCACCACTCACACCAGGCCAGCAGCCAGTCACCCCGCTCCCTTCAGAACCTGTGGCTCTGTTTCCCAAGACAAATCTCAGGCAGTGTCCCCCGTGGCACCCACACACTGAGGGCTGGAACTGAGAACCCGCTGTAGTATGTCAGGGGCTTGTGGGTGGTCCCCGCCCCTGCAGAGCCAGGTCTGGGCACCCCTCCCCAGGCCACCAGGCCTGATGCTACCACTGCACTCCAGGCAGCGGGGCCTGACCCTGCCACATAGACGGCAAGGCCCACATCCACAGGAAGCCTCGGCCTGAGCCACCACGCGCAGCAGACGTCACGAGCACCAGGGACCTTGGTCCTGTGCCTGGGGACCACCATGATGGGGCATCTCTGTTGTCCTCCCTTTCCGACAGCAAGACTGGCAGGCCCAGCTGTGGGCCGCAGTCCTGCACCTGGTGAGTGTGGCAGGGCAATGCCACAGGGTACCTGGGAGCCACACGTGGTGAGATGTTTGCACTCTGGGCGTATGCCACGCTGCCCATGGGCACATTCACCCTCATGTGCCTGAGTCTGAGCCACGTGAGCCTCAAGGCCCCGGCACATGGGGAGACACAGCGTCTCCCACCCTACTCCATACCCGTGCCAGGCTCTTACCGTCCACACAGGCGGGCCGTGCCCTCGTGGTCCCCGCGATCTGCCCCTTTCTGCATGCGCAGCGAGCCGTCTGCCGGGCAATTGTCCTCCGCGGCTGACTGCTGTCCCGGTCCAGAGTCACAATCTCACAGGTGCCGGCGGCCAGCTGACCTGCAGGAGAGAGGTAAGGTGTGGTGAACTGCGTGGTTGCAGGTGCAGCTCTTCAGCCTGAGGCCCACCCAGCACCCATGGTGGATGAGCGGCGCAGGGAGGCCTGGCCCTGACGGTGTGTTGCACAGCCAGACCGGCCTGGCCATGACCAGCCTCTGCATGCGCCCTGGTCCACGCAGCCTCGTCTTGGCAGACAGGAAATTAAACGTGGCCCTAGTTCAGAGCACCCTCAGCACTGCCGGAAATGAAAAGGCCGGTCACAGAGAAGGGAGCCGTCCCCCACCTCCACGCAGGGCTCGGGTGGAAGGGCCTGAGTACACAGTGCCAGGCTCTGAGCCCACGTGGCCCTCAGCCTCAGGCCCCACGCCAGCATGCTGCCTGCACAGCTCTGCGTCCGTGAGCTGGAAAAGGCCACGGCGCCAGGAAGGACCCACTGTGCTCATCAGCACCAGGTGGTCCAGGTCCCCTCCTCCACCTTCCGGAAGGCTCACGTGTCCACACAGGTGCAGGTGGGACCCGCCACGCACAGGCAGGGGACAGAGCAGACACACAGGCAGGGAGCCACGGGTGTACAGGGAGCAGTCTGCAGGGGAACACACCCATGCAGACACCCAGGTGCGCACTGGCATGCAGAGAAGGGCCAGGCTCCCCCAGGGTGCAGCGCCATGGGTTTCTGGTGCTCCTCGCCCCTCTCGTCTCCCGGGGACAAGAAGACGCACTCCCTGCCACAGGGGCCAGCGTCCCCGGAGCACAGGGGCAGCCACAGGGCACTCCAGCTGGAGCTAAGCCCCTCTCACGTAGATCATCACCTGCTGGTATGGCTGCCTGCCAGCCACCACTGCCGAGCGCTTGAGGGGCCACATGACTCAGAGGAGCACTGCAAGCAACAGTGGCCGTAAGATAAGAAGCAGCAGCCTGTGGGGACGAGGGAGTCCCTGCCCACTGCAGGCGAGGTCCAGGTGTCTGTCCCTCCTGCGGAGCACGGAGTCCGGCGCACAGACACCTGCAACCCTGCCCACGGTGCTCCTGGAGCCCCTGAGGAGGCCCCATCCACCCACAGTATCAGTCTTTCCCGAACTCAGCTAACAGTGAGCACCAGCTGCACGCTGTCCACCACAGGGGGTACCTGGTGACTCCTGCTGCCTTGTGGTGGCCCCATGTGGGCACCGTGATCAGGCAAGGGTCATGCTGAAGCTGAGAGTAGGGTGGTGTGCAGGCCACGCCAGGAAGGGTAGTGTCCACCCCACCCACCACTGTGCTCCTGCACCACGGATGGACAGGCGGGACAACTAGGGCTGCCTAGAACCGACGGGGCTCTGCCCTGCCTTCTCGGAGCTAGGATAGCCTCTGGAGCCACCTGCCATGGTGACAGACCCTGTAGGGGCTTCCAACACGGCACTATTGGGGCCACCTGCCCCTGGGTCCCTAAGCCACCTGGCCCTGCACCTGTACATGATGGGTGCTGCGATGTAGGGAGACAGACGCCTGTGGACTGGGGATACTAGTCCCAAACTGCCATGTGTCCCAGGGAGGTGCCCTGTATGGGTGCACGAAGCGCCCCAGACCTCACAGCTTCACCAGACATCTCTCCTCCACCACCCCGGAGGCAATGGTCTGAAGTCATCAGGTGAGAAAAACACATCTGGTGATAACATCTGCAGACCAGATGTCTCTCGGAGAGGCTGGGGCGAGTAGTGGCCAAGGTGGAGTCCAGGACAGGGCACGGCCGGCGACCCAGAGGCCTGGGAGAACCAAGGTACGGGGGGATGGGCGGCAACAGGTGCCCAGGATACCCGTCCACACCTGGACGGGTGCAGCAGGGCAAACACTGGATCATGGTCTCAGATACAGCCGGGCACGAGGTCCCGCGCCAAGGACGTGAGAAAGGAAGGAGGGGATTGGTGGGACAGCCGCTGGGGGAGCCAGTACTGGACGGGGTCACGGGTGGGCAGTCTCCACGGTGCCTGGGCAGCCACCGTCGCCCTGCAGTCTGTTGCGAGCACATAGGCAGTCACTGTGGAGGAGCAAGGGAGTGTCCCTAGCACAGCGCTCACCCACGCCTGGCACTGAGCTGGGCTCCAGGGGTGCTGCCCCTCTGCAGGGACCCCGACGGCACTGGGCCAGAGGCAGAGCCCGATGCCCAGCGAAGCCCTCCAGTGGCCTCGCTGATGGGCTCGTTGGATCTGAGGCCTGCCAGAAGGAGCCCCACGAGCACCTGTGTGAGGAGTGTGGCGCAGGTGCGCGCGAGGCCAGTGACGGGCACCCTGGGGCTCCCGTCCTAGACAGCAGCACAGCAGCACAGCTGCTGCTGGAGGGCATGAAGGAAAGGGGCAGGAAAGCGGCTCCGCTGCTAGGATGAGCCCTCCGGAAGACACTCCGGGCCAGGTCTGCTCACTGCACCCAGCCACAGCACAGCACTCCCTCTGTGACCTGCCTGTGTCCCCAAACCCGGGCCTGGGGTACCCTTCCTGTGTGCCATGGGACATCCCGTCAGCATCCCGTCCTCACTGCCTACCGCCCACTGCTGCTGCCACCCGGTGGGACTGCTAGGGTGGCACCACCGCCCCGAGCCAGATGTGTGCACCCCAGGGCTCAAGCCTCAGTTGCAGTACTGCCCACAGGCCGCAGTGCCCCATGGTGACACAACTGCACGTGTGACTGGACATACGCCTGTTGCCCCATTAGGCAGATGGCCACCTCCCTCCCTGACCTGGGCAGTGGACCACGGTGACACCAGGCTCCGGTCTGGTGCGGGCGGGCCAACGTCCACTCCTAGGCAGAGCAGCCGTGGCACTCGTCCCTGGACCTGGCCACTGAACAGGAGACGCCTTGTCCCCAGGCAGCAGGGGACACTCTGTGTAGAGACGCTGATGCTGGAGCGCAGAGACAGCCCTCCCTGGCTGGCGTCTTTGGTCTGCAAGAAGCAGCTCTGGGGCAGGACCTCTCTGCCTCTCTCTGGCCCTGTCCTGGCCCCCAGGGCTGACCCTCAGCCACCGCAGGGGCCTGTGTGGGGCTGCGATGAGTGGCCCAGCCAGGCGTGTGGGCCAAGGGGACTCTGCAGGCCACCACGCCCTTCATAGGCAGCACGGCACACTGTGGGGAGTCACGAGGGCCCAAAGCCTCTTCAGGGTGAGAGCGGCGTCAGCCCCGCTGGCACTGTGCTCTGTGGGCTAGGAGGGACCTGGCCTGTGTGCGGCTTGAGAGGCACCCCCAGCCCTCAGGCACCCCACAAGGCCAGCACTGCCCTTGTGCTGTTTCTATAGGTTTTATAGCTCACTGAGGACACAGCATCCACTTGGCTGGGCACAAGCCGAGGAGGAAGCCACCAAGCGTGTCTTCAAGCTGTTGGGGAACCTGGTGGCCACAACAGGAATGACTGCCTGGCGGGAGAGCACGTGGCCCCCGGCCCACCTGGGCTGGCTGCTTGATGAGAAGGAAGCTGCCCGAGGGACAGCACCAGGCGCGGGTCACACCACCACACGGGCGACACAGTCCCTTGGGATGGCCAGTGTGCCCAAAGCCAGGGCCACAGTGGGTCATGGGAAGGACTAGAGAGGGCGCGTGCTAGGCCCTTCCTGGGCAGTGGGTGGCAGGCAGCGTCCACACCAGCACAAGGGCTCCAGTGAGCACAGTCCAGGCAGCAGTGCCAAGGAAGGGCGATTGAGTGCCGCCCTGCGCAGTGGAGGAGGGGGCGCAGGGCCACAGGGAGCACGGCCCGGGCAGCGGCTCCTTTCTGGGCACAGGCAGTGGCCCTTCTGCCCACCAAGGGCTGGTGTAGATGTGGGATGACATCTGACATGAGGAATGACAGAATAAAGATCGGAACCACCCTGACAGGCGCAGACCGCGAGGCTAGCATTTAACCATCACAAATGTCAGCACCGTGTTTGGATTCAATGAAAACGAGGTACACTGGGGTGGGGGTGGGGCCGAGGGGGCCCCGATTCCTGGGGCACTCAGAAGACAGGGGCCGGTAGGTGTCTGGTGAGAGGCTGGGCACCCAGGTCTGCTGGAGTCCGCTGGGGGAAGCAGCTTCCAGCCCCCATGCAGCCCTGGGTGCCGAACCTGCCGGGAGGGATGGGCCTCACCAATGCACACCTGCGTGCTGCACTGCCAGGGGCGTGTGAGCATGCACGCACATGAGCACGTGTGCACACACACACACACACACACACACACACAGAGCTGCCACGTCCCTGCTGCTGCAGCTGGCACAGCAAGGTCCTACGAGTGACACCAGCGGCTCAGCACCCGGTCTGTGGCCCCAGGAGTCATGCCCTGGGCCTGCCTCCCAGCACACCTGCTGTCCCCGGCACCACACAGGCACCAGAGCCCTGCCTCCCCCTGCAGGCTCAGGTGGATGGCACTGCCTCCTGGTGGGCGCGCTGGGGTCCCCTGGGTTCCATGGTGTCCAGGGCCCCGCATCCAGCAGGGCTGGCGGCAAGGCCTAAAGTCCACCCGGCACAAGACGCAGCTCTCAAAGGAGGTGGCCAAGCAGTCAGCTCTGCTGCGCTCACAAATTAAGTGACTAACGCAGAATTTTATCCCTGATCCTACAGACATACGGCCCAAGGATTACAAGTACAAGAAAGAATGCTCTTTGAGATCTGATGAAGTATTAAGCTCTCACTATTTGAGTTATAATGGATCAGGCTATTAAAACCTAGTATCTAATTCTCCATCACAGCCCGACGTCCACAGAGCCAATTAAGTACATGTGGCAGGACACGGATGAAGCCCGACCCATCAGGACAACAGCGGCTGAGGATTACCCTTGCAAGACAGTGTGCCAGGCCTGATAAAGAAATTAAGCAAGACCGGGGTCTGTGACGCAGAGCTGCCCCCGGGCCTGGCACATGGCTCTGGACACACTGCCTGGCCCCAGCCGCAGACCGACTGTGCGCATGGCCTTGGCGTTCAGGGCCCCATCCTGCTCTTGGCCCGTGTGCTCCTGGGGCTCCCTGGAGAGGTCGGCTCAGGAGAGAGAGGTCTGCTGGGCT